ATATCACCTCTTACCTTACAAGATGAGTATCATCCAAAAAAAAAAAAAAAGACAACAAGTGTTAAATAAAGATGTGAAGGGAACCCCAGCACACATCAATGGGAATGCAAAATGGAGCAACTCCCACAGTAAATAGTAGTAGGATCCTCAGAAAAATAAAATAGAACTGCCAAATGATAAAGCAATCTTGCTTATTTATTCAAAGGAACTGGAATCAGAATTTCAAAGAGATATCTGTACTCCCACATTCACTGTAGCATTACAAACAAAAGCCAAAATATGAACATAATCTAAATACCAGACAATGGATAAATGGATAAAGAATATGTATATGAGGGTATGTGTGTGTATCTATATACACAAATAATATAATACAAATATGCGTGATGGAATATTATTCAGCCTTTAAAAAGAAGGAAATCCGGGCTGGGGATGTGGCTCAAGCGGTAGCGCGCTCGCCTGGCATGCGTGCGGCCCGGGTTCGATCCTCAGCACCACATACCAACAAAGATGTTGTGTCCGCCGAGAACTAAAAAATAAACATTAAAAATTCTCTCTATCTCTCTCTCTCCTCTCTCACTCTCTCTTTAAAAAAAAAAAAAAAAAATTAAAAAAAAAAAAAAGAAGGAAATCCTGGGCTGGGATTGTGGCTCAGTGGTAGAGTGCTTGCCTCACATGTGTGAGGCACTGGGTTCAATCCCCAGTACCACATAAAAATAAATGAATGAATGAATGAATAAATAAATAAATAAATAAATAAATAAAAGTGCTGTGTTCACCTACAACTAAGAAAATATTTAAAAAAAAAAAAAAGGAAATCCTGCCATTTGTGACAACATGAATGGATCTGAAAGACGTTATGCTACATGAACTAAGACACACACACACACACACACACACACACAAATATTGTATGAACTTATTCATGTGTGAAACCAAAAACAGCCATACTCAGAGAAGCAGAATAGAAAGAAAGGTGATTGCCAGGAGGAAAAAGGTTGAGGAAATGAGGAGGTGATAGTCAAAGGCAACAATTTCACTTATGCCAGATAAATAATTTTGGAAATCTACTACACAGCATAGTGCTTACAGTTAAGAATACATATTGTATATACAAAATTTTCTAAGAAGGCACACGCCTATAATCCATGTGGCTTAGGAGGCTGAGGCAGGAGGATCGCAAGTTCAAAGCCAGCCTCAGCAACTTAGTGGAGGCCTTGAGCAAATTTGTGAGGACCCATCTCAAAATAAAAATTTAAAAAAGGGGTAGGGATGTGACTCATTGGTTAAGCACCCCTGGGTTGAACCACTGGTACAAAAAAAAAAAAAAAAGACTTTTTTTCTAAGAAGGTAGATCTTACATTAAGAGTCTTACCACCAAAGAAAAGATAATATAATAATAATAATAGTATAAAAGAGGGGGGGAAGGAAAACTATGGGAGTGATAGACATGTCTGCAGTCTTCATGGTAGTGATGGTTTCACAGGTGTATACTTTTCACCAAACTCATCAAATTATATACATTAGGTAGAACTTTTTTCATGTCAAAAATATTAACAAAAATAAAAAACTTTAACCCTAGGGAAAGTTAGGGGGGACAAAAGAAAATAGTTTCAATAAAACATGGAGAACATATCATATGTTTATTTCCCTATCCTATACATATATCATTTGGGGAAAACGCAAAACTCTACAAATAGCTCTTTGTGATATGGCTTTTTTCTAAAAAGCAGAAGAAATGGTCTCTAGACATAGTAAATAAATGATTTTAAAACAGAGGGAAAGAAGGAAAAAAGTCAGAAGCAAATATAGAGTGAAGAATATAGCCCAAAAGCAGAAAAAGAGCAATACATTTCTTCTTACAAAAAGAAGGGTCTTGCTGGGTGTAGTGGCACATGCCTATAATCCTAGAAACTCCAGAACCTGATGCAGAAGAACTGCAAGTTCAAGGCCAGCCTCAGCAACTCAGCAGGACACTGTCTCAAAATAAAAAATAAAGGGCTAAGGATAAAGCTCAGTGATAAAGTACCCCTGGGTTCAATGCCCAGTAACAACAACAACAAAAAAAAGGTCTTCAGGCGGGGGATGTAGCACAGTGGTAAAGCAATTGTCTAGCATAAGAGAGGGCTACAAGGTTCAATCTTCTAAATCAACAACATGGGAAACCCCATTCTCCATCAAATAAGACTTTACAGACAAAAGCAAAGGTCTATTCCAGATCCCATATTCAAGAAAGTCCCTTTAAGTATGCCAGAAAGGAATACTTAAATTCCTTAATGTTAAGGAATTTAAGTATTCCTTTAAGTATTCAGGAATGCTAAACTCCTATAATATAAAAACCAATCAGATAAGAACAACTAATTCAAAACAATCCACTTCAGGAATATAAAGCCAAGAAATATACACCCTGCATCCCTAAACCTAATAAATTCAGAATTATAACTATCCTCTTCTAAAGGTCCAATCACTCATACTATAACATTAGAAGTCTCTGAAATATCTAAGAGAAGACAGAAATAGAGGCATGTGCCTGCAATCTGAGCTACTCAGGATGTTGAAGCAGGAGGTTTAATTGAGGTCAAGTTCAAGACCAACCTGGGTAACACAGCAAGACCCCTGTTTCAAAACATCAAGCCAAGCTAGGCGAGTGTTGCACACCTGTAATCCCAGCAACTCAGGAGGCTGAGGCAAGAGAATCGAAACTTTGAGGCCAGACTCAGCAACTTACTGAGACCCTAAACAACATAGTGAGACCCTGTCTCAAAATAAAAAATAAGCCAGGTGTTGTGGCACACACCTGTAATCCCAGCAATTCTGGAGATTGAAGCAAGAGGATCGCCAGTTCAAAGCCAGCCTCAGCAACTTGGTGAGACCCTGTCTCTAAATAAAAAATAAAAATGGTGGAGGATATAACTCAGTGGTAAAGCACCCCAGTTCAATCCCCAGAACCAAGTAAGTAAGTAGGTAAATAAATAAATAAGGGCTAAGGATGTGGCTCAGTGGTTAAGTGCCCTTGGGTTCAATCTCCAATACAAAAAAAAAAAAAAAAAAAGTCTTTCAGAGAAAGTAATTAGATTATTCCATCATCTAAATTCAAATCTTTTTAAAACTGAAAACTACGTATTTCAGTCAATCCTCAGTAGCCTGTTCTTTATGGCCTTTTAAAACACTTCAAAAAGGTTCTTAAAACAATGTTCATAAGTATACTTCTAGAAAGAGCTTTCATTCTTCTGGCAATTTAAAAGCTAACAAATGTTCATCTCTACATTAGATTATTGATTCCTTGCCTTTTAACATCTCTATAACAGCTGCTTGACAAATTACCTCACCTTATTCCTCAGGGGGTAAGGACAGCATGATATCCATGAATTCAAAAATGGGACCACAAACTGATCTGTGAGAGATGAGCTAATTGCTTCAGAGGAGTCTTGACAATGCTCTAATAGACTAGTCATTCATAGCATGATACAATTGTATGCTTTGCTTGCTCTAAATATTTTATTTGTACTTAAGTGTAGAGGCAAATCTTTCCTTAGAATCATCTGAAAATATGATAGCAACAGTAAGTCAAGAAACTTGCATGTTTAGAATAGCTTCCACAATAAGCTAAGTCTTCTCAATACTTATTCTGAATAGTTTGCACAACTTCCGCATTAGTTTTCTTATTTCAGCCTCAGAGATGGGTGAAATCCAAAAAAGTCTGCTAAATAAGTTTTTAAAATATTTTCCAGACTTTTAGCAAATAAAAGCAAAACAATCATTTTGTAAGATAAAATAAATGTATTTCATAGAAGTATGGTAAAAGATTTCTGTTGTATGTACTCAGATTCCTTGTTAGTGTCAAAACAGTATGAAACACAAAGAGGAATAAAAACTGCAATCTTGTAAATCCCCAGAGAATCTTAAATATTGCTTTCCCTGCATGACAACAACAAAATGGTGTGGATTTAAAGGAGTATTTTAAATGAAAAGCATTTTCCATAAAAATTACTTTTAGCCAAGTTAGCCTCTCTCTAGACAGAAGCATTTTACTTGTGTCTAAATTCAGAACCAATCTCATAATAACAAACTTGTCAATACCTTTAAAGTGATAAATCTCTGTGCTAGCTTAGCATTTCACACTGTGAGCAATAAAACTTCAAGAATCTTATCTTTTTTTTTTTTAAGAACTGAATCATCTTCTTCAATGTCACTTTTGCAAGTGTATGACAACAACGATGTTGATTCACATTTTGTAAACTATTCCTCTAGCAAAAAATGTAGACATCCCAGAAACCATATAATTTTGGGATGATGGTGCCCATTAAACATGTTTCTTTCGACATATGTCTTTTTGTGACCTGAAAGCTCCGGTCCCTACCAGAACCTTGGTTGGCTGGCTGGCTAGTTCTCCAGCAACCGTATCATGTCTGATCTCTCCTGCCTGGAGAGGCGATAGCGTTGATTTTGTTTTTAAAGTTGGTGCCGGAGCAGCTACAAACTTTTTTCAGCATCCCTGCCTGGCTGCCAACTGGAGCTCTGCTCACTTCCTCACCAACTTGAACCACCCCCAAACTCAAGAGTAAGCTGGAGTTAGACAGCGGCAGTTGACACACTTTCAAGAGGGTTTGACACCGCAGAAAACTTTCACTTCTCTTCTCCGCCCTTTCACTCAGGGACCCCGGTCCTTCGCTGACGCTTCCCTCTAAAATTCCCCTCTAAGACAGGACAAGGACACGGAAAGCAGATCGTCCTAATGCCCCCGAAAAGGACCTCCAAAGCCTTCTCACCGGACTCAAGTGCTGTTCTTACACAAAAGAACCGGGCCGGCAAAGCAAAAGGGCTCGAGTCGAGGCCCTTCTACGGGTGCCAGCCTCCACCGCACCCGCACTCGCACCCCGAGTCTCCGGCCGCCCGGGTCGCCTCCGCTGGAGGCTTTCTGCCCCCAACCCGGCCAGACAAAGCCCGGGCGGCCCGGCCGGTGCTCGCTAGCCTCCGGTCGCGGGCCGCCGCGCTCTTACCCGGGCCTCATCCAGAGCGACGCCGGCGCCACTGCTTCCCCCGGCCTTGGCGGCGGGGCAGCTGGCAGCGCGGGTCTTGGAGGAGCGGGTCCGAGAGGAGATGAAATGGCTGCTGCCTCCGGTCGCCCCAGGCTCTGCTCCGGCCCCAGGCCCAGGCCCGGGCCCGGGAGACTTGGACCCGAGAAGGCGCAGAGAGCTCTTCCGGGTGTTCACCATGGTCCAGCCAGGAGGACGAGGCACACGCCGCGCCCGGGAGGGCAGAGGAAGGCCGGCCCGCCGGCCGGGCAGTCAGGGCCAGCGGAGCCGGGCCGGGAGAGACGAGCCGGCTCGAACTCTCCGGAGCGCAGACGAGGACAGGCGAGAGCAGGGCAGAGGAAGGGAAAGCGGCGTGAGAAGGCAGGCAGCAAGAGGCGAGAACGAGGCTGCAAGTCGGCAGCACAGACCCTCCGCCGGCTTCACCCTCCTCAGCGGGAGCCGAGCGGAGCCGCCATTTCTGCCCCTTTCTCTCTCGTTCTCGCTCTCGAGCTCTGTGCGTCAGGTCTCCAGCGCCGCAGGGCCGACGAGACCGCTTCCGGCCGCGGCCACCGCGGGGCGCTGCAAGGACAGGCAGCCCTCCCCTCGCCGGCTTCTCCCTCCTCTCCCCTCGCCTCCAGCAGGCTCCGCCCCCGGCGCAGCGTCAGCGCGCGGCGGCCAGGGATGGCGACGCTCTGGGCTCGCAGCTCAGTGGTTTCCCCGGGTCTCGTTGGCCTCCAGGCTGGGGGATGGGAAAAGCCAGATTGGTTGCGAGGCGAGTTCCGGCGTGGAACTTGGGACCAGATCCAAGTCGCCAAGTCTAGGACGGACTACCCTATACACCCGCACCATCCCAAATGGCCAGGATGGAGCTAGGAACCGCCCTCATAGGCGCGGGGAGGAAGGGGATCGCTGATAAGGACGAAAAGGCGCTGGCTTAGAATCCCAGAGCTACCTCAGCAAGTCACTGAACTTGAGCCGCACTTTTCAAGGCTGTAAAATTGAGAATGACAGCTGTGATTAACAATAAAAAAAAAAAAAAGTTTACGCGGTATCTGGCACAGAATACGCTTAAGAAGAAATGAGGGTGGGGAAGATACACGAGAACTCTAATTCTCTCAACAAATTGGTGCAGAGTCCTATAACCTTAACCAGATCTAAGGCGGGAATCTTTCCAAGAACCGGGTTTACCAGTCCCCTACTTCCTCCCGCAGAGGAATTAAGTAAAAGCAGAACCCAAAGATCAAAATTTGTAATGTAATTTACGAAGAAACAAGCTGTACAGTCAATATGAAATGCTCTGGTGTTAAAGCAGGAATTGTCGTCATTTCAAAAATGCAGAGTTCATTAGAGATAACCTACTGTTCATAGTGATAGGGGACAGACAGATGTAAGTGGTGGGAACACGAGGTTAAGTGAATAATTCCATAAAATGCAGCCACTGAGCTGACCAACCACATGCTTTTTTTCTAAGAAGCAATTTACCTGCAGCCTTGCCTGTCTTAATTGGACAGGATTTGTCACATTCCCCAATGTTTTGTCACATTCCCATTGTTTGCAGAAGAAATGCAGGCCCAGAATAATGTCAATAAGAGGAACCCAAGTTACCCTGAAAACTTTGGGGCCCTTTTTGCAGACCAGATCTCAAACTTGGGAGATAAGGATAATTCCTCCCAACCATAAAATCGATAAGAATTTATGATTAAGAATCCAATTAGTGGGCTGGGGATGTGGCTCAAGCGGTAGCGCGCTTGCCTGGCATGCGTGCGGCCCGGGTTCGATCCTCAGCACCACATACAAACAACGATGTTGTGTCCGCCAATAACTAAAAAATAAATATTAAAAAAAAAAAAAAATCCAATTAGAGCCAGGCATAGTGGTGCATGCTTGTAATCCCACCAACCAGAGAGGCTGAGGTAGGAGGCCTGCAAGTTTGAATCCAGCCTCAGCAATTTCACTAGACCCTATCTCAAAATTAAAAAGTGAAAAAGCAAAAGTGGTTGGGGACTTAGCTCAGTAGTAAAACAGCCTTGCGTTCAATCCCCAGTACCAAAATAAATAAATAAATAAATAAAACAATTAGAACCTGTTAGCATGAAAAGTGACCTAGAGTTATCATTACCATGCAGTGGAGAATTGCAAGTCTGATATCATCCTGCTGTCAGTCAAAAGTCAAGAGGTGGAACTCTGAAAACTTCTCTGGAGTCCCCAATTAACTGGAGTGAGAAGACCTACTTCAGAGTGAAACCAGAATTAGGCAGTCAGTATAGAAGGGTAAATTGAGACAGGTCCGATCAAAGAGGCCAATTTTGAGTGAGTTCAGCAAGTTGGACACCAGAGCCATTCCTCCACCCTTATCAAGAACTTACCCCTACTCCAACCTATAGCGGAGGTAACTTGTCCCAGGAATTGCCCCTCCCTACAGGAAGCTATAAGGTTTTTAATGAATGTGTCCTTAGCTGCTCCTTCCTGCCCTTCCCCCAGCCATCGTCCCCCAAGCCACCATCCCCCTAGCCACATTTGGGCCATCCCACTGAGCATTTCCTAGGCCTAGTCAAAAGCCTAGTCAAGTATGCAGGAAGGAGAAAGATAAGGAAAAGGGGGCAGGAGAACAAAGGAAGAATACCTTGCTTCTGGGGATACCAGAATATCAGCTATGGCCCCTAATCCCTTCACGAAGAAGTCTGTTGCCCCTTTTTAGATAAACCTTGCTTTATATGCTTGCCTCCTCGCACTTCTCTAATGTTCAAACTTCAACATGTGAGGAAGCAGAACTCATCACCGATAACCAGAAGTACCAAGAGTATCCCATTTCCCTTTTCCTTTCCCTTCAATAAACTCATGCCTATTAATTTGAGCCACATGTCTGAAATCTTTCTGACTTGATCATAAGAATTGGGGTTTGAAGGGAGAGGGGGTGTTTGTGTTGGGTACAGAGCAGGCTGAACTGTGTTGTCTACAGGGCAGGCTGAACAGATGTTGGCTGCAAGATAGCCCACGCACTCAAACCCCCCTCTATCTGGTCCTTTATCACCTGTTTGTGTCAAGTCTCCCTCAAGGCTGAGCACTCAACCCCCCTTGGGCCAACAAGGCAGCTTGCAGACCCAGAGGCCCC